TAATCCAAGACCCCATGCCAATATGTTTACCTTTTAATGGAATATTTTCTCCCAAAATTATAAGTCTCACAAGTGACTTCTGGGACATATCAAAGTTGGCAGCCCCTATACACCTTCCTTTATTCAACTGGGCCAATACCCATCTCATAAGAAGCACTGTTTAATGAATCTGTAAATATCACCTTCTGGTATCATAAACAATTCAATCTCACTATTTTTGTGCTGGGATAAATAGACACCAATCTTCTAATTTATGTATGAAAACTAAAAGAGGCAAGTACAGCATTTTTAAACCCATTTTTAATTTGGAAACATATGAATTAGTGCAGAAAACTAAGAATAAGATTAATAAAGTAATAGCTAATAGTTTACCTCTGCTAAATTGGAATATATTCTATCTATTTTTTATTCAGGCTCCAACTATCACTACATCTGTTACAAACTGCCCTATTTCAAATGTAATTTTCTATTAAGAAATGCTGTGAAGTTATTTGAAACTAGTAATACATTTAACTTAAAATCAAATAAACATTACTTACAGTCAGAACAAACCAAAGAAAGTTAAGTATATCCAAATCCTAGTGAAATCAAAGAGGCTTAAAGATTTAACCTGCTTCTTTTTATTTAAATGGAATTTTTGCTACAATACATACCATTTGTGTTTACATTGGATTGCATACACAAACTGAGAAGCCTGTATGGAATACATGATAAACACTGCTTAAAGTAGGCACAGCCTATGCACATTCAGAAGGAAGCCACCTGATTGTAGTACTTGGCAGCTGCTACTCTCTGTCAAGTTCTGTAGCACACCTGTTACTATAGAAACAGACAGCAGCAGCAGCAGCACCCAGACTAAGAATAAAGACATAAGGTCTTGAAATTCTTAGCAAGTTCAGTAACATGAATTTTTAAATAAAATATCAGATCTGAAATAATTAAAAGTCCTCTGTTTTTCCAAGAAAACTTTGTTTCTATGTTTCCTGGCTAAAGAAAAACTTGAAAATTTACTATGGGTGGATCTAAGGGGCTGTGTGTGCCCTTATTTATGGGCAAATATATGTATGTGTTTCATCAAATTATATTCTTATTGAAGCCTTTCCCATAAAAAGTTGTTTCTAAAGGTTGTGGGCAACCCTCTAGAGTGGGATTGAACAAGACATAAAGGCTAAAGTTGGCAAGGAAAATGAGCTCTCCACAAGCACGGAGCTCTTCTGCATCTTGGCCTAATACAAATATGTGAGACTAATGACATACTTTCTCATATATTTAGAGGATGAGATGAAAAAATAGCCATTTATGAGGGAAATAGAACAAATTTAAATTTATTAAATTTAATACGTGAATGAAAATAAAAAATACTGATTAAATATGCATCCTGTCTTTCAACCAAATGGTGGCCAAGAAAGCTTTCTGGCAATTGGCTTGCTCGGCATCCCAAAATTTGGTGATACCCAATGTAACTGATTCACTGATTCGCACTGTGCCATTACAGAGGGAAGGTGAGCAAATGCAGCCACCTCAGTAAGTGGGGGGAAAAAAACACATTATATAAGAACAGCCATGCTGACTTGGACCAAATACTGTTGAATCCAGCATGCTGATCACACAGTGGACAACCAGATGCCTATAAGAATCCGTAAGTAGGACATGATAGCAAAAATGTTATGATGGTTTTAATCCTGTTTGTATTTCAGATTGTATTTTTATGTTTTATTGTAAACCACCCAGAAAGCTCTGGCAGGGCAGGGGCGAGGGTGTTAACAGAAATTAAACACATAAATAATGATGTTTTCTTTCTTTTTTAAATAGCACAACTGCTTGTGTTCCCCAACAACTTGTAGACAGATGTATACTATTTCCAAAAGAGAAAGTAACATATACCCATCATGACTAGCAGCAATTGATAGTGCTGTGCTCCATGAACTTGTCTAATCCCCTTTTAAATGCGATCCAAGTTCAGCAGCCATCAAAATACCTTGTGGAAATGAATTCTGCAGTTAGCTATGTGCTGCATGATGAAGCACCTCCTTTTACCTGCCCTGAATCTCAATCCCAGTTTAAGCTCAAGGGATGACCCTGGCTGTTGGAAGGAAGAACGACAGCTGCTTCTGGCTACAATTCAAAGATAGTTGCTGGCTGACCTCCAGGAGAAGAATCAGAAGAGGTAGAAGAGATGCAGGAACGGGCCTTGAAATGTGGGCCATCCCTAGACACTGAGGTGAAAGAAGCAGAGATGCTTATCTCAAGGCCAGACTCCTCAAGTGGCTAGGGAGTTGCTGGGAATAGCCAAGATACACAGATGGTGGGAGGGGAATTGGAGAAGGGGATTTTCTTAGACACAGACGAGGTGGATATGGCTCTTATCCTATGACGCATCATCAGCAGAGGAGGGGAGCCTGTACAGAGAAAAGGCATGCTTATTTTCAGAAGGCCCCTCTCAAAAGGATGGGACCCAGGCATGGTCATAAGGAGAATTCCTGGTGGTGAATACTATATTGGGTTCAAAGAACTGCTTTGTGCATGCTCAGAGATTCATTCTTGGTGTTTGTGTGTCCAGAACACACTTCAGTCAATAAGGAACTTTTTGCAAGAAAGGTTTGAATGTGGGAAGGGAGGAAAGCTGGCTCACCACACTGAGTTCTAGAAAAAAAAGATGTCTCCCTATCAACCTGCTTCAGTAATTTTTCACACACCTGTCATGCACCTCCACCTTCAGTTACATACCATTTTTCTAAGTTAACACCTTCAAATATTATAACCGTTCTGCATGGGAGAGTTGCTTGAGCCCTTGATCACTTTGGTTGTCCTTTTATTCAAGTCTACAACATCCATTTGTTTAAGTGGGTTATCAGGACTATGCACAATATTCCAGCTATGGTCATAAAGATATTATGACATTGGCAGTTTAAATTTCGATTCCTTTTCTACTTCTCATTTTTGCCCTTTTCAGGTTTCACACTTTTCATATCATTACTCAGTACATTTTTTTTCTTGACCAGTGACTGCCAGTTCAGGTCCTGCCAGCATATACATGCAAACCTTGGGGAGAGGAGGTGCTGCTCCAGTGTGCATCACTTTACACTTGTCTATGCTGAACTCTATTTGCCATATTAATATCCATTCCATCAGTCTGGATAGATCCATTTGGAGCTCAATGCAATTCCTGATTGGTAAACTATGCAAAACGTATTAGCTTCACTGCATACCCCGGACTCCACATCATTTATGAACAAGTTAAAAAAACTATGCCATTTCAGAGCCATAAAGGATCACATCTTTTACATTCCTCCATTGTGAAAATTAACCATTATTCCTACTCTCTGCTTTTTGTTGTTTCACCATTTACGAACTCATAAGAAGACCTCCCCTCTTATTCCATGACTGCTAAGCTTGCTCAGCAGTCTTTGGTGGGAGACATTCCTTACTTGAACTGCCAGAAAGCTTTTAACTAAGTCCCTTATCAAAGACTTCTGAGCAATTATTAACCATAGTTTTAGAAATGCGTTGGACTTTCACACCACTTTTGATGATACTTACCGGGTCACCCCGACCACATATTTATTGACACACTCAAAGATCTCCAAAAGATTAGTGGGAGAAGACTTTCCTTTGCAGAAGCCATGTTGATTCTTTAATAATTACTCAGAAATCTTTGGTAAGGAACTTTGTCAAAGACCCTTGAAAGTACAAGTAAGTAATATCTACTGGATCACTTATATCCACTCCTAAAAGGAATACTTTAAATACCTTTGTAGAAGACATGTTAATTATTTATTATCAGGACTTGCCTTCTATATGCTTGATAATTTTATCATTAGTAATGTTTCCATCAATTTACTGGAACACTAGTTAATTTTCCTGTAATTACCCAGATTAACCCAGCATTTCTTGCCTTTTCCTTTTCTCTCTTCCACACACACATACACACTTGCTCTTTTCTAATTGGTGTTACACTGGCCACTCTCCAGTCCTCAGGTACAGAGGCCTATCCTACAGATCTATCACATTGATTGATCGATTGATTGAATGATATGCCTTTACAATAGCCCATATCTGGGCTCTTTGTGCAGCTCACAATTTTTGTTAGAAGATCAGAAAATTCACATTTGAATTCATTAAAAACTCTAGGATAGATACCATCTAGATCTGGCAATTTATTAATCTTCAATTTGTTAATACGGTCAAGTTCACTTTCTGTGACCATTACCTGCTTGCGTTTTTCAGACTTCCTTCCTAAAAACATAAGTTCAGGTACAGGTAGCTGTCCTATATTTGTTACAATGAAGACAGTTAATAAATAATGCAGCTTCTCTGCCATCTTCTTATCCTCCTTTAGTACCCCAATAGATAGACACTGCCTCTCTAATCCGGTGTCCTGCTTCTGATATATTTAAAGAATTGCTCACTGCTGGCATTGATGTTGTTCATATACTCCTTCAAATGTCTTTTTGCATATCTTATTGTCGGCTTCCATTCAACAAAAAAGAGACTTCACCAAATGAATGGTAACGGCAAAAAACATTTTCATTATGCACTCCATTAATTATACAAATGGTTTGGTTAGCCAGCAGTTATTGCAGGAGGTACTTCCTAAATTCAGTAGTTAAAGAGATCTAAGTTGTGAGGAGAGCTAGGGAGAGAATGAATCTGAGGCACCCAAGACAGTGGTTGAAACAGAACTGGAGAAAATGACAGGAGCTCCGCCTTTATATTAGCACTCACGGAAGGGGGTGGGGATCCTGCCAAAATACCTAACTAGGGAATCTCTAACAACAGGCTCCAGGCAGGTGCAAAGCCTAGGTCTGTGATGCACAGAAATTATGAAGAAGAAGTTAAAGTATTATGGTGCATTTAAGCATGCATTAAAAATGAAGGCCTTAAATACTATGGAGGCAAAATACACAGAAATACAAAATATAAATTAAAATACATAATAAATGACATAAGAAATGAAAAATGCATTAAAACACTAAAAGTATCAATAATTAATATTATACCTTGATTTCTTCTATTTCATCTGGCACTATTTTGTATGCAGACACAGTTCCACCCAACCTGAAATTTCAAGAAAAAAAAATCTCATAATCCAGCAACACATAGCATGAAATAAATACATGAAATAAATGTTCCCAGCATAACATAGCACAGCATAAACCCTGTTCCTGTGGTTAAGTTCTGAGAACAAACTGTGTGATTAGCCAAGGAAGTACACATTATGTATAGCTACAACATGCACTTATATCCTAAGTAGCAAGGACCAAAACCAGTATATTATGTAATACAGCAAACCCAGTTACAGCAATAGTTTTTTTTTAAGTCTCATTGGCAAAAATGTCTATTGTATTAAGTAACACACTTTTTTAGAATGTTTGCTTCCATATTACATACCTGGAGAGAACAGCTAACCAACACTGGTAAAAAGCCCTTGTGCCAAAGCCCTGGCTAGTGACGGAAAAGGTAACCCACATATACAGTTCCTGTAGCTGTATCAGTCCTTGATGAAGGGTGAGCTGTACTCTTCAAATAATTTATCAGCAGGGTGGATTTTTCTGCCCATGTAAAGTTAGTAGACCAATCACTCTTTTGGTTTTAATAGGGGCAGACTCTCCACCAAAAATTTGCTGTAGGGATGTTCACCCCATCAAGGACACTGTTGACCCAAAGATCCTTGATGGAGGTAGCCTTCACCCTGCTCACAGCTGCTTATAAGACGGATATTTCCATTCTGTGAAAATGAATGGAAGAATCCATCCACTTGCAGAAGGAAAACTATTTTGAAAGGCACCTTGAAGGTCTCATGCCCCCCCCCCCCCGAGTTGTTGTTAGTTGCGAAGCTGCATCTGACCCATCACGACCCCATGGGCAACATTCCTCCAGGCCTTCCTGTCCTCCACCATCCCCTGGAGTTCACTTAAGCTCAAGCTGACTGCTTCAGTGATTCCATCTAGCTACCTCATTCTCTGCCGTCCCCTTCCACATTGGAAACCCTTGCTCTATACATTTCTGGAGATCAAAAAGATCTTGCTACCAACATGATAGTGATGTGCTCCATACTATACAACAGAGAGGCAAGGAAAGATACTCTTCTTGAGGAAAACTCCAACTTTCCCAGGACACATTCCAGGGAGTATGGGCATTTCCATGCTAGGCAAGCAGTTAAGTAACTGGTTTCAGCTGCTCAGTCCTCAGTATGAAAATGGAAAGCTCTATCAATCACCAGCCATCTGAAGCATTATAGGGCAATTCATATGGGAAACATTTGTCCACTTTACCCACAGCTAGAGTCTGTAAGACTTTTCTTGTATAACTATGCTCAAAACATTTAGAACCATTCACTTCATGCCAAACCCTGTCCCTAAATGTATCCATCTATATTCTGCCTTTTTCTTGCATCCTTCCACCTTTTATAGCTTAAGTAAAAAAAAAGTTTTCCTTTCAGCTGTTTTTCCCCAGCTAGCCAAAACAGTTCCTTAATAAATCAAACTGTGGACCTTATTAAATTAATGGAAACAGGTTTCAATGAAAGTGTGTGATGTAAGTAGAAATCGAGTGATGTCCTCAGAAGGGTGGGTGCTGTCTTTCATTGAGTATATGTGCTCCACAGAGGGTGTGCTTTTTGGTAGCACAAATATCTCCATATAAACTATTAAACAAAAGTATATTTTGTCCAATAAAGCACCACTCCCTGTATGAAACTACCTGTACTTTGCAATCTATATCTGAGTCACCATTCACTCCTCTGAGAGAACTTTAGAAGATGGTATTAAGGAAGAGGAACTTTCCAGTGGTGTCCCCACCCAACTGTAGAATGCATTTTCCAGTGAGGTCTGCATGGTGCCAGTCCTGTTATCTGTTTAGTGCCAGGTATTCATCTATTCCCACCCATCTGATTGGAGTTTTATGCATAGCTGCATTGCTATGAAAGGTGTGAGTGCAAGTTATAAACAAGCACAATTTCTGACATTATACATCATTATCATTGATCCCCAGGCGCCTGCTAAAGAATGAGCCTTAAATTCCAATTTGCGGGTTTTTTGGAGTTTAAGCTAATATGAGATTATTGAAAAACCTGTTGGTTTAAGACAATCTAATACAAATAAGCCTTATAAACAATGGTAAGCCTATCAACTTGGTCAACAATCAGGGAAACATTCTGGTTGGAGGGGTGGGGAGGTCACAAATTTCAGTAAATAATTGCTGCAGTCTGCATCTTACAGGTATGATAACTATACATCATAGTGTATAGAGTGGCATGTCAGACAATCAAGATAATTAAATATTCTATGGCTTTTATGCTCCTTCATATTTTAGAATTCTGTACTCAGTGAAAACTAGCCATCTGAAACTAAGCCTAAGAATTAAAAGGATCCCTTAATATGTACTGGAATTTATAGTGCAATAGTCATGATCTAAATTTTGAAGTAGTAGTAATTTCTTCATTGCCAATAGTCTTAGACCTTTTTCAGAAATACATCTAATCTTGTGTGAAATCATATTTTAACATTTGTTTTGGAATTCTTGTTATATTCTTGTGTATGCATTTTGGAAGACTTGGATTCATGATATACAATGTCAAATTTACTGCAATAAACTAAGGCATTCTTTTAAAAACTTTAAGAAATGAGTCACCTGAATTCAGGAAGGCAGTTTAAAAATAACTTGAATCCGGCATAGCTGCTGCCATTTACAAGAGCGCTTAGATGCCACTTTAATTAACATGAATCTTTTCTCAGACAGATGAGTTAATAGATGGCACATCTTTCTACATCATCCCAAACTTAAAACTTCACTGTTTTCCTCCTAAAGTGCACCCTACTTCATTTTTCCAGATCTGTCCTATGTGTGACATACTATGTTTTGAAACCAAGTTCCTGTTTATATTGAAAAACAACACTTTTGATGAGTTAAGTCAGCCTACTATAACTTACTACCCTCCAGATCATTTGGATTATCACTCCCACCATTCTTGTCCATTGGCTAAACTAGCTGTAGCTGATGTGAATGTTAGTCCAAAACATCTGCAGGGCACTAGGTTGAAGAAGGCTGAGTTAGACTGTTAACTAAGAATATGCATATAAGGGGCCAAAAGAAATACAAACATACCAAGTCTTTATTATATTAATGTTAGTGAAAAGTAAGGTTACTTACCTGCAGCTGTCACTCTTTGAGTGGTCAACTGCCTGCACAGTGTCTCCATTCAGGAAGATTCTTCCAGCTAAACCTAGAAGTTTTGGCAGGAGCCTCACCCCCTCCCTCCTAGTATAAATAGGCGGGACTCCCACCATTTGTCAGAGCACTTGGAGACTGACTTTCATTTGCTAGTTTGGACTAACAGATCATTGGAAGGAGAGTAGGTCTGAAGCCACTGACACTGATGCAGGGCTGTGTGAATGCACAGATGACTACCTGAACAATGACAGTTGCTGGTAAGCAACTTGCCTTTCTCTACAGGGGAGATACTAAACTCTCCAGCTTGATCTCTGATTCTGCCTCCTCCTTTGACCTCATCAGAATAGACACCTCAACAAGAAAAGCAGCTTCCAGTTCCTCCATCTGTGCATCTGCCTGGACATCCACAGAGACCTTGCCTTCTACATGTCGCACACAGAACAGCTCCGCCGCACAAACCATCTTTTCATCTGCAACAATGACCAGACCAAGGGAGACACTGTCTTGCCGCAAAGACTTTTCAAGTGGATATTCAGTACCATCTCCCTAGCCTATGAGGTGGTGGGACTAGACCTTCCCACATATCCTCGCACACACTCCACATGAGTACAGGCTACATCTGCTGCTTCCCTGCTGAAATCTCTCTCCATGTTTTCTGCAAAGCCACCATGTGGTCCACAACATCGACATTTGTCTGGTACTACAACTTACGTACAAGTCAGAACTGCACATTTGGCAGGGCAGTCCTTTCAGTTGTCATGCAATGACAACAGCCCCTCCATCCACGAAGGGTAAGCTTGCTAGTTGCCCACATGTATAATGCAAACAGACCATGGAGGAGGAGGCAGGTTGCTTACCTGTAACTGTTGTGCCTCCAGTGGTCATCTGTACGTTCACACAACCTATCTTCTGCCCTGCTGGCTGCTGTCAGACTGCCACACACCCTTTTCCTTACCACATGGGGTCATTTGGGGATACAGACAGGGATGGACCTCACACCTTCTGTTTGCTTACCTGGAGGCACTGTAGTCTCCAAGACAACTGAGGAAGTGGTGGGAGCCCCCTTCCTTTTATCCAAGGCCCCAGAAGGGGCAGAGGGACTCCTGCCCACTCTGTGACATTTATCTTCGGAAATTTCTCTCCAATCCAGGCCTTGCTCTGTGTATCTATGTCCACATGTGTGATACACAGAGACCACAAAGAAGACTGAAGTCAGAGCTTGGATGTGCTGGGGATCTGATCAAGATGGAGTGTTCAGAACGGATGAAGCTGGAGAGGCCTGGGTTGGATGTGGGACCAGCCTTATTGTGGTTGCCAGGGCGGCTCGCATGGTGGGCAAGGCTTAACACTCAGAAGCAATTGGTGAATGTTGCCTATGCTTTTTCACAGGCGTGTTTCTGCCCAGTTTCTTAGCCTGTCTGGGCTTTTCCACCCTGAGATGTTTCCTCTCTTCCATTTATTTATTTTTTTGGGGGGAAGACCACAGGAAGACCACTGGTTTGGGGCCAAGGATGATTTCGAGGAGGTTGTAGTTGCAGGAGCAGCGCACTTTGGGGTGGCCAATTTGGAGGTGGATGGGTGACTGGCTTCATCCCTTGCAACATCCCACAGAACCTCTAAAGCCCTCTCCCACAGCTCCATCGTTAGAAGGCCTGCCCTGTTCTTGTAGACCTGCTCAGTAAAGGCCTGGCAGTGAGTACACTTATCAACAGGGTGCAACCCAGACACAGAAGGCAGAGGGAGTGCCTGTCAGCTGATGGCATTTTAATGCTGCAAGCCATACACTTTCTAAAGACTGCGCTTCTGTACCATCGGGCAGAAGAAGGAAGAACGAGAAAATCAGGATGAGATGCGAGGTAAAGGAGAGATGATAGATGTTATTTTTT